TATAACTTATATAATAAATTGTATAAATTTTCTAAACTTTAGCTATTTATAACTTGATGCTTAGGCTTTTTAAAAAAATTCTAACCAATAATTTGGATAGTACTAATAAAAAACAACAGTTTTTATAATTATATTTTTGAAAAAAATATTTAAAACTTAAGATTTTTTAAATTTTTAAAAAACATATAATTTTATAAATATATAATTTTTAATAAGAAGCGACTTGGCACACCATATTATATATAAGTATTTTAATATAGTTACAAGATTCTATTTTTATAAACTCTAGAAAGAGAAGTAAAGGTAAAATAATCCAAATTAACCTCTCAATTTATCTAATAAAAAAGTACCTTTTAGCAAATACCTAAAAGTTACAACTAAAGTGCATTTGAACCAACAATAAAGTTTGTAATTCTTTTTGTTTGTCACTATTACTGAAGTAAAGTTAGCCTTATTGCACAATATTTGAAATAGAATCTTGCTTGGCATTTGTGTTAAAAATTGCAATTTTTGGTCTGATCTTATTTTATTAAAAATAAAGTAATACGAACATTAGCAGTACAAAACAAAAGTGTAAAGCTCAAAAAATAAAACTTGTCTAAAGTTAAAATATTATTTGCTATTAATTTACCGAAAGAGGGTAAAAAAAAGGCACGCCGACATATGGTACACAAAAATTAAAAATCATCGAAGTGGACATTTCATGTGACTGATATTAGTTACATAAATTACAATTATATTTATTAATTAATAATTAAAATTTGTTATATATATATTAATTACAATTGTAATTATTAATAATTAGCAAAGATAATATATATTTTTCTAGTTAGTAATTAACGTACTGTATATTGGTATATTTTTTTGCTAATAAAAGTTTATAAAATTTGGTTTATTAAGGTTTTTTTTTTTTTTTTTTAGCTTTTTTTATACTAATAATACTTAAATTACAGTAGATTTAAATAAAAAATGAAAGTGTTATATCTTAAGATACTGTAAATATAAATAACCCATTCTTTTTTTTTATATACGCTGTAATATTAATAACAATAAAAAAAAAGAATTTGATTTGTTTAATTTTAGAGATAAACTAGTAATATTTAAATCGCCAGCTAGTAGAACTGTTATGTATTTTAAAGTGAAAAATCTGTTTTTAATTATAGTTAAAAAAAGCCGATTTTATCCTCAAGTAATTTCAAGTAATATAGAAATGGTTTACTTGTTAACAAATCATGTTTTCACCGGTTATAAAATTAAAAACCCTCTTTTATTTCAAACACATTTCAAGTGTGAAAAACACATTAATTACCACGCAGGCACCTAATGGCAAGCAATATTTCACATATAACATCAAACTGTTAACAAGAATTTATGCGTTTAATAATTATTTTTATAGGTTATTTTGTCGTTCACAAACGTGATAGAAGAAATCGAATGGAATTTTTTTTTAAAATACTGAAATATTGAATAAATATACGTAATATTAACGATAATATTTATATAGATCGCTTAAGGAATAATATTATAAAAAGTAATTTCTTTAAATTTATGTTTTTTTTTTCGAAAATTTAATTCAGATATGGGTAAGTTCACGTGATAGGAAAAAAAACGCAGTACGTAAAATCGGGGATTAATTGAAATAAATTCGTAGATTTATTCGTAGATCAAATTCCGAATTGTTTAAAACCAACTTTTCGGAAAGGCGGGCCGCATATAAAAAGCGGGTGATCAAATAAACTGTGATACGTAAATGACAACAGTTGACTAATTTAAAGAAACCCAAAAAAAGCAAGAGCAGGGGCGAAAATGGGAAGGCAAGCAGATTAAGCATATTTGTTTATAGAAATTTTTGATAGGAAATAAAAAAGAATAGTAGATCTTTAGATTTTACCTAATAAGTTAAAAAAAGTAAATAGTTTAGAAATGAAAGATTTTTTTTAATCACTAAAAAAGAACAAGTAAGAGAAAGCATATTTGTTGATTACATAATTTATAAAATAAGCATTCATTCATTCGTTAGCTGTCATAAATGCTAACATAAAAAATTAACTATACAATTTGTTAGTGATAATGGATAAATTAATGATACGTACGAAATTAATGATAAACTAATGATAACTAATAAGAAGTAAATAAGTATATATATATAATTATTAATAATTGACGAAACAGATATTATTTTAAAGCCGTGGAATTTCTTTTTTCATGATATTTATTGAGAGAGTCTTTTAACAATATAGAGTTAGTTCGTTTTATGCTAATCCAAATATATAAATAAGAAATATATAGTTACATAAAAAAAAGAAAAAGAAACATTGGCTTACAACTTTTTTTTTTTATCTATCCTTATTTATCAAAACAAATAGATTGTTTACATTGTTTCAAAAAAGAAAAAAACATCATCTTATCGTAAATATAATATTTTAGGAGAATAATAAATGATAGATAATGACGAAATATAAAGTTATTCATTATAAAGAAATAACGATAGATAAAATATATATTGTAAAAAAAAAGAGAAAGCTTAAGATTATTCATTCATTCATTCATTTCTTTTTTTAATGCATGTGCTTAATTTTTAATAAATTTTTCATGTGTCCTGCAAGTAAATATTTTTGAAAAATAGTTAAATCAGGGTACTTCTATATTTTCATTAATCGTTGTTAGATTATTTTGGGTAATTGGCGCGCCGATTTTTACTAATTGTTCATCGTCTTACCGAGAGTTTTGCCACAAAAAAAAAGAATTGACAAAAATGGGGAGCAAAATTTTTCAATGTGTTTATCCGAACACAACATTTTTTTTATATGATAAGAAAAATCATCCCATTATAAGGTTTATAATGATAGAGGGTGAGAAAAATTCGAGCTAATGATGTATGCATGTATGTATCATGAACTATTCTTATTAGACAAAGGCCGATGGAAACGCCACACTCAGGAAACGCGCATTCTGCATTTTTTATTACTGAAAATTGAAATTGCGATTTGATAATATTTGATAATTTTAATACGTACGTACGTACGTACGAACGTATTTTTTTACACTAAATATATAAGCATTGATAAGTTTTTATAAAGATTTGAAAGGAAATATATATTTGTGTTTAAGAATTGAATTGAACGGTTTAAATTGACAGGACAGTATTGTTACTTGTGGATAGTACAGCATTAGAATTTACTAAACGTTTGCTAAAGTTTATTAACGTTGTGCTTGGGAAAACCGATGAGAAAATATTGCGCGTTACAAGGTTATCATGATAATTTTGTACACCAGAAGTAATCAAAAGATTCGAACAAACTTTAGTTTAAAAGTGTTACCTCGCGTTGTAATAAAAAGATTCGTCTATCAAAAAATAACAAACGATTTTGGAAAAGTATCAATGTCGGCCGAACATATTTTGTACACAGAAACACGAAAAAATGCATCATGTTATTCACGAGGTCTTTATACGTGCGTACGTACGTACGTACAGTAAAAGAATCAGTAACAGGTAAGTATCAGAAGTATCAGTATGTAAGTACATATGTGTGTACGTTCCGAAATTCTAAATCAAAATTAAGAGAGCAATTAGACAATTAAATTATTCCTATCATCTCCAACAGATCATCACTCCCAATCTACAATTACCATAATTTATTGTTTAAATGGAAAAAAAGGATAAAAAAGAAAGATCTATAAAAGAAAAAATAATTAATTGTTTATCAGTCGTTGGGGAAGGGGGGAAATCAAAAACATTAAAATTTAAAATTGACCCCAAAAAGTTTATAAATCACAAAAAAGCAGTGAACCAAATATTAATCAGTTAATTATAACCCATTTGGTTTACCTGATTTGGATGATATGAAACACAGCCACTTAAGATTAACATTTACAAGATTAGCGTTAGATATTTACTTTGTACAAGTATCGGTATTACAGTACGTACGTATCACTGATATCGTTATAACAGTGTTATAACGATAATAATTGTTAACGTTATAATAAAAAGATAATTTAGAAAACTTTATATATTTGGAAACTATAATTCAGCCTCAAATTTATTTTACATTCACAAAAATTTTATTTGCATGAATTACATTTCCTGTCAAGAAACTTTTTACGTATTAAATACAACGTAAAGAAAAGGAAATTCGATCTTAAAAATACTCTAATAAAGTTTTGACGCGTAATTTTTCACCATTATAATAATTTATTTGCGCATTAATAAAACACGTTTGAACACGTTGTTGTATATCAAAAAAAAAAAAATAATTTTTTTTACAAGTTATTACAAGATAAAACAATTTTAAAGATATTAAACGAGTTGAACAAGCATTTTATTTTTTAATTTTTTTTTTTTTCCATGTTTATTTACAAAAAAAAAAAAAGATAAAATAAAATAGATTTTGATTATATTGCCAGAATACTACATAAATTGTCCAAGATACTACGTACAATATCGATATACCTCCTTGATTTGATATATTTGATATATTTGAAATTTGATATTTTGATATTGTGTGGTAATTAATTAATTGCTTGTCTGTCATGAAAAATGAGAAAGAAGATTGAGAAAAGAAACAAGAGTCGAAAGTCTACACGCACGAAATATACAAAGAAAAATAATAATAATAATATATAATGAAAATAAAAAAAAAAAACGAGACGATACGTTAAATTTTTTCGTAAAATGTTTTTTTTTTTTTTTTTTTTTTTCTTTAATTTTTTAATAAAATCAAATAAAAAATGACTCTTAAAACTACAAAAAAAACGAATTTACTATATATCATAAATACAAAAGTGTTGTTTACATTTCAAAATTTAAAAAAAAAAGTTTTTATGCTTATGTACAAATATCCCTTGGTTTGAAAAGAAAAAAAAGATTTCCATGCATTTTTTTAATCTATTTGATTTTTTTTGGAAATGCGATTTGAGTGTAGTAATGTTGCAATTATATAAAAAAAAAAAAAACAAAAAAAAAGTAAAGTAATGATTCTTTCTTAAAATTCTTAATCGCATTAATTAAGTTTTAAAAATATATTCTCGTCTGTTGGAGATGTGGTAGGATGATCAAGATAGAAATAAGAAGAATAGTCGGCTGGTGCAATACCATAAGGAGAAAATGGATAATAATCAGATACTTCTAAAATTTGGGATGAACCTGATAGTTGGTGAGCTGATCCATTCGATGGTTGAAACGGTTTGGATTCAAAACAATTTGGATGATTTTGTTCATTTGGTGTTGAAGGTCCACCGCTACCATCATCATTACATTCGTATCCACCACTAAATGATTCAGATCCATCATCATCGGATGAAGAAGCATGAATTTGATTTAACCCATTTGTCTCACAATTATTACACATATTATTTTCAAATGAAGAAATTGTTGATAAGTTTGATGGATTATTAGTTAATACCATCGTTGGGTCAACGCTACCAGACATTATAGAGGTATCGTATGGTTGTTGCTCAATATGAGCATTTGAAGAAGGAATAGAAAGAGTTTTAGCACGTTCGGCAGCGGCGTAAAGAACTCTTTGTAAACTATTAATTATTTCAGGGATTTTGTCTTTGTGAGCTGAAATTCTTTGTAAGAGGGAATAAGTAAGTGATAAGAGTTGCTTATCAAGGTGACTTTGTTTTATTGCTTCAATTAGTCCTTGAAATACGGTAGAATCGGTAAAATGTCCTTTATTTTCGTATAAAAGACAAAGAGTTTCTTTCTCGATGAAAGTTGATTCCAATTTTTCGTTATAACTTTTGTAAATAAACATAAGTTGTTCTTCAACTTTTTGTAATCTTTGCTTCAAATTCTCCACTTGTTTATTTTTTCTGGGGGAATTGTCATACTTGCAAAGATCAGGATCACAATTTGAGCAAGGTTTTCCAGTTTCAGCATCTCCGTCGCACTTGATCTTTCCTTGCCTGCAACGTTGACAAGCTCTCTTATTAATTGGACCTCTGCTTCTCTTGGCTGAATTTGTTTGCGTAGAATGAGATGAATTTGTACGTCGCAAGAGATCAGTTTGAGTTGCAGAGAACCTAGGAGGATTTCCAGGCCTTGTTGCTGTCATCTTTTAAACTAATAAAAATATTTTTTATTGTTTTAACGGTAGTGAAGTTATTGACGGAATGGTGTTAATAAATAAATATATAAATAAATATATATATATATATATATCTAATTTATTTATTTATATGAATTTTAAATGTCTTTCTTTTTAAGAATCGAAAAAAGAAACAAAAAAGAAAGTAAACGAATTAAATATGCTTTTGAGCGAAGGTTACAATTTAAATAAGTTTTTCTCGAAGGTTACGAATTAAATATATTGAGAGTTATATATTCATAGACATAAATTAAAAGATTCTTTTCGTTTAACATTAATTTGGTCTATTCGGTTTAGTCTCTATTTACGATTTATACTGAAATATATTTTTTTTTGTCAAAGACTTTTTTTAAGAAAAAAAAAAAGTATTAAAAATGCAAAAGAAAGTCCAAAGAACGATGTTTATATAAGAAAAAATTACTACAGCCAACCCCATTTCAAAATATATATAGTAATTTATAAAAAATAAATAAATAAATAATTTATTTACTAGTTATGTATGCACAAGGAACAATTCGATTGATAGATAAGTTTTAGATAAGTCTTTAGGGGTGCTCGCGTACGTAAGTACCCTTTAAAACAAGAAAAGATCATCAAAGGTATTTTTATAAAGATATAAAATAAAATAAAAAAAAGGGCCATTTTTTCTAAGTACATTATTAATTAAACAAAACCGTCCAATTAAATGTGCGCTACATAAGAGATAGCATATATTCAAATATATACAATATATATATATATATATATATATATATATATATATATATATATATAATATAATTCATTTAAAATTTGGATTATTATTATACGAATATTTGTACGTACGTACCAATTTACTTTGTTTTAATATTACGGTAAATTTTTTTACAATAAAATATGTATAAATAAAAAAAAACGTAACACACAAATCAAAAAAGAAACATGTAATAGAACATAATGTAGCATTATGGCGCATTAAATTACATAAAAAGTATTTACTACGTTCAGAAATCAAAAATAGAAAAGACCAAGTATAATTTTTTTTCGCCTTTGTTTACCTAAAGTTCCTAACACGTTTTTTATTTTGAAAGGGGAACTTTTTATCTTGTAAATAAAAAAAATATTTTTTTCTTCTAGTATATAAAAGAAGTAAATCCAATTTTTATAGATATTTCCTTTTTTGTCCACAATAGCCAATTCGTATAATAAGATATCCAAGTAGTGAAAATCTTTTTTATTAAAAAACGTTTGTAATTTGTTCAAGATCAAATAATGATCACAAGAAAAGTTTCCAATATATTTATTTCTCTCTTTCCAAATACTGAAATGTACTTATTTTACATTCTATGAATTGGATAAAATTGCACTATAAATTAGTAGACTGTAAATTAGACTGTAAATTAGACTGTAAATTGGTGAATTAGGTTATGAATATAATATGATTTTTTTACATTATTATCATTATTATCATTATTATTTTTTACATTATCATTATTTTTTTACATTATTCTTTTTTACATTATATTTTTTTACATTATCTACAGGAAAAGAAGATCTTTGATCGATGATTTAAATTCCCTTTTTTCATTTTTACATTTGTAAAAAAAAATTTTTTTTTTATAATCGCTAAAATAAACATCCGAAGCACGCGATCTCAAAACAACTTTACAATTTATTATGGATTGTCGGTTACCCAGAAATGTGGATGGTTATAGATGTTATTATTTTTTTTTGTTATAATTATTAAAGTTTGTTTCTGCATTGATAATTTTCCTTCTTTGTTTGCATTTTTATTTCATCCTTTGTTTTAAAAAGCTCAGGATTTCCCTGAATTTTCCTGAATTTCCCACTGAGTGATCATACATACTTTCTAGGTAAGTTTAAACTTTATTATATATGCGCAGTAAGTATCATTATACTTCTTTTCTCATGTTAAAAGAATTATCAATACCGGAATTATTCTTACTGCGTTCGTGTAACACTAAATTAGTCATAAAATTATCTTTATCTATGTGCATTCAGTACGTACGCAAAACAATTTAATTCTATTTAGCCGATCACAATGCAAAAGGCAAAGGGAGAATAATATTTCAAAAAATTTCAATAAAAGGGCAAATGAAACAACTCCAAAACGATTCGAAAAAAAAATAAAATAAAACTTGGAAAAAAATGTGGGAAAAATAAATTATTTGAAAAATAAATTATTAATTATTAATTAATTATTGATATTAAATGACGTATCAAATTAGTTGTTCTTCCCGTTATCAAAAGTCATAAGAACAAGCATAAAAGAAAAAGGTGAGTGCCACAAAATGATTATCAATCAAATTATTTAGAACCCAAGATATCATGATATTTTTGGTTCAAACTCTTTTTGAACTTTGTTTTTTTTTTCTTTTTTTTTTTTTTTATATATACAATATTATACAGTACTTGCCCCAGCCAACTTTCATTGTTTGAATACTTTTTTTGGATTATTCAGGATGCAGGGTAGTTGATTCAACATCTTTTGTTAAACAACTATGGTTACTTATTATATCACGTAATTTGCCATGCATATACTTTAGAGTAAAATAAGTACTGCGGTTTAAACTTTATTAAACATGCGCCATATAATTACTGAAATGAGAATTTTTGTAATACACCTTTGAAACAAAGGGTTTTGTCTTACAAATTTGTGGCTCATGTGAAAGGGTGGCAAGATTTATAAATTTGGTAATTGATGATGTCAATTTGTAATATTGTAATCCTGTAATACCCGAAGGTCAGTTAATTCTTTTGGGGGGATTATCTATTTTAAATTACGAGGGAACCTTTTTTTTTTTATTGAATTTTCCACTTATATATTCGAGTTTAGGCCACAATTCGTCATAACACACAACCCTAATTGTGCTTTAATTTGGTAAATTTAACTTTGTGTTCATGTAATGTGATACGTTGCCCCCTTTTATATTTATTAACTAATAATGACATTAATAAATATATATAAACTTATATGCAAAATAATTCTTTCGAGCATTCCGTTTTTAGAGATAGCCCGAAAATTAATATAACGGGAATTGGTGATTTATCAAAGACGGAATATTTAATTACTAATCCTATACTTATTTACTTTTTATTTGAATTTCTTCCAGTTTATTTTTTTTTTTGTAACAATTGCGACGATTGTGATAAGGGATCAACGATTATGATAACTTTAGCTTATTACTTATCTCTTCATTATTCTTGGCTTCATTATTCTTGGTATATAAAAGTACATATAAAAAATTTCTTGGTATTGTATTGTACGTATACTGGAATATCTGTTATGATTCATAATTTGATCGTCAAAATTCCTATTGACAAAGAGTCATTTTGTATATATCTGATTATTTTGATTATTCTGATTATTCTGATATACAAGCGACGTACAGGTATGACATAATTTTAATAAACTCACATGCAAACGTGCTTCGAAGAATTCCAATGAATTTTTTTTTCTTGGTCTTTGTTAAAAACCTTAAATTGTTTATATTGCCTTGAAGAAAATATATAATTTTTTTTCTCTATTACTGTTTCTTAAATCACATGACATATATTAACGTTAACATTTACTAACTTTTCTTTTAACGATTATCAAAATGTTCAAAATGTTCAAAATGTCCAAATCACTACGTATAATTAATAATGTACATATGTACTGACTGTGTGTACTGACCGTATTTACTGCAAGTATTCATAAGTATTCATAAGTAATCATACATGTGTTTACTACGTACTCACTACTTCTACTGCGTATAATAAACTGCGTTATGTATGTGTGCATATAAACTGCGTATCAAGTATATGCGTATATAGTACATATAGTACATATAGTACACACTACACACTGTATACGTACAGTATCTAACTATACTAATAGAGGTATCAATTTTCTAAAATGCACCCCAAAAAAATATCTTAATTGTGACACAATAAAAAGTTTTTCGTATCAAAAAAATCTGTGGCGTTAAATGCTTTTTATAAATCATGCGCATTTCTTCTTTTTAACCAATTTGTTAGGGGAAAAAGAAATTTAATGATTCCATAAGATATATTTGGTACCACTTTAACTCGGGTTTTGTTCCCTTTCACATGCCTATATTTATCTACCTTAATATAATATATGCTCATCTCTCGGCGATTAGTACATTTGTTTGTTTGAATCGTTATTTCTTCTTCGTCATGAAAAAAATTTCTTGGAAACAACGTCCTAAAATGTATTTTTCCGCAAAATATGATATCATACAAGCAATTGCACTACGGTACCGCTTCAAAAACGCATGTAAAAAAGATTAAAGATCTTATCGATATTTGTACTGCTGTTACTGTAGTTACTACTGTTACTACTGTTATTACTGTTACTACTGTTATTATTGTAATTACTGTTACTACTGTTGTTACTGTTACTACTGTTGTTACTGTTACTGCAGCTATTGCTGGTAGTGCAGTTATTGTTGTTACTGCTGTACCGACTGTATTATGCTTATGTTAAAATGTCCTTGTGATTTCCGCAGTGTTCTTGTCTTTCTTGTCCTCAGGTAGTGTTACCTAAACAAGTGACGTTAGCAGATCGTACAAATTTCTCGATTTACTTTGTCTTTTTTATTTTTCTTTGTTGTTCTTGAAATCTTGAAAAAAAAGTTTAAATATTAATTACATTAATTTGATAATTCTCGTGTGCATTCGTGCAGAATTACAGAATAATGGTTGATATACGTTTACGAATAAAATTATATTCAAAGAATCTACCTATATTTATTATTATTCCATAAAATTTATGTGTAACATATCTTTAAAAAATGGATGGTTTAATAACACAATATACTTGCTAATTCTTGCTAATTATAGTAAATTTATCAAGAAACATACATCTCCGAATATTATATCTTTTAATCAATTCTTTTTCCTTACAAATTTATGTAAATTAATTTATTTTCTTTCCAAATAATTTTGTTTCGTATAATATT